CAAATGTGCTCCACTAGATCATCTTTCAAACGTTTATGTATTTGCTGATCACGAACTTCATTACGAATGCCGATCATATTGTTGATGTTTGTAGGCATATCTCTTGAATACAAAATATCAACATGTGATGATCTGATTCCGTCTGGTTATTGGAATCCAGATATCGCGTACAAACTGCGGTAATTACCTCGTTTGTTTTCTACAATCATATTGTGTAATATGATTGATGCCCTCATAATCTTCCCAATCTTTTCCTTGTCCCAGATTAGTGCCGGATTTTTAATGATAGCAAACCGAGCTTGAAGAACCCCGAAAGCACGCTCGACATCTTTACGGACAGATTCTTGAATTTTGGCAAATCTTTGTTCTTTTTCACTTTGTGGAAGGTTAATAGATTGGATAAACGTTGTCCATTTCGGATAGATACCGTCAGTGAGATAGTAAGCCAAATTATAGTTGTGACCGTTCACAGAATACCTAACTTTCGGACCTCGACCTTGTAATATGTCGTCAAGAACGTTTATATCATTTAGAGTACCTGGAGGCCCAAAGAATGCATGCCATATCCAAAGATCGTATGATGTCACAGCTTCTAATACGATTGTCGGTTTTCCTGCACCCCGGGTGTATTGACTTTTCCAAGCGGTTGGACAATTATTCCATTCCCAATGCATACAGTCGATGCTTCCTATCATCCCGGGAAAGCCACTTGACTCTCCAACATCGAGCAGGTGTTGGAGATCTTCTGGTGTGGGCCGTCTAAGGTATTGATCTCCAGGTGGTCGCATCTCTACAGCAACATCTACATGGACTCCGGCCTCCACATTGTTAGATGACTAGCCGATCCGCCTTCATCCACCTTTTTTCTTTTCGAGCTTGCACTGTGTTTTAGAGCAGAGGTTCTGCACCATTTCTGGTCATGCCTTAACTCGCGCCATGCATGTTCTAAGACAAACTTGATGCCGTGATCATTGAAAAATATGTCATGGGCACCTTTCATGACATCATTTTCATTCTGGCCGCTGGTCTTCTCTTTCGTAGCTGCTTCATAGCATCCTACGAACTTGCAAACTTGATCGTTGATCCTACACCAACGTTGCTTGCACTGCTCGACTTCCCTTTTTGGCTGACCGGCGAGCTGCGGTGAGTTGTTGTAGTACAAGCATATGCGGCTCCAGAAGGCAGACGCTTTCTGGTCATTACCAACGACCGGATCTTTACTCGTATTCAGCCACGCGGAGATGAGGATGAAATCCTCCTTTGGTGACCACTTGATTCTTTGCGCCGGTGTCTTCCATCCTCTGCTTGGAGCCTCAGAAGTCTGTGTACTAAACACAGGGACCTCTGATGATCCAAGGTCAATGATGTGCGAGAAGCCGTCGTTAGGGAGCTGGCTTGTTAAAAGGTTTACAAAACCTTCGGCCTGACCGTAATGGTTGCCGGAATCCTTTAGGGATAGGTTTTTTAGGGTTTACAAAGGTTCGGTGGTGTTCAAGAAAGAGGAAGGGTTTAGAAGTAGGCAATGTTTTATGTTGAAGATGTTTTTAGAGGAGTTAAAGTTTATTTATGTTGTACAAGTTTTTTAATGAAGATTTACTGAAGCAGAGTGTCATTTACTAACCCTAACCTAACAAGCATTGACCACAATAGATCACAAAGCACACGCAAACTTTCTATTTTCATTCAAGGCATTAAAAAAACTAACTACTTTCAGTGAACTACCTCAACAAGCATTTATACCAACTCAATGCCTAACTAGTTCCGATAAGACAAAGGGGAAAAAGGAGACTAACCTCGATGAAAAGAATCGATGATAAAATGGCATCACTTGTTATCTCGATTATCCCACCATGGTAACCTCAAAAAAAAAAAAGTGTAATGGACATATAACATTCATTCTACTCCAACGACTAAGCCTTAACTCCTCTACCTAACCAAAAGCTAACTAGCATTAAACACAATATCGTACAAACAAAAACAAACTCAAACAAGCGAACATGATTTCATTCATAAACCTTAAGATTAAAAGTTATCCATAATTATTACAACAAGACGTGGTCTTACTTAGTGAAAAGAAGACAATTTAACTTGTTCCTCTTAAGTAGACAACATTCATTGAACAGTTGTTATTGTCATACTTAGATAAACCTACTTAAACATATAGCAAACGGCAGTGAATACAATAAAAATAACAAGCAACATGAATGCGTCACCTTGGTTAGAATTGTGGGCTTTCAGCATCGTGACATCTTCTTGAAGCATACCCACATGTACTTGAAGCATAGACACATCTTCTTGCAGCATTCGGACATCTTCCTTCAACTCTGCAATGGTCGGATTAGTAGCATGGCGCCTGTCGACGCTGAAGAGCATCTCCTTCTGCTCGTCAAGCCTGAGCTCAAGTATGGAGAACTGCTCCGTTACAGCATCATCCCACCATTGCCTCTTGTGCTCACCACGACCCTACATAAGAGTAAATATTAAAGTCTTCATCGATAAACATGTATGTATTTAAAAACTTTGTAACTACAACTTACCTCAGAGACCCAGTCAGGACAAGTGTAATACTTGCGGCATGCAATTCCCATAGCACCACCAGGACAAGTTTCAAGCTTCACACGTTTCCCATAGAAACATTTGTCCGGTATCCCGTAGGTAGCATCCGCGTAGGCCCAACCCAAATTCATTTCTGGACCTTCGGATGATGTTTCGCTGTAATGAGGCATTGTCTGCGATGATAGTCATTAAACAAGTCATTCTCTAAACAAAGTCACATAACTAATCACTTAACAAATAAGAACACATAACTAATCACTTAACTAATAAGAACAAATAAGTCACATAACTAATCACTTAACTAATCTCTAAAGAAAGTCACAAAACTAATAACTCACAAAGCAAAAGAACAGATCACATAAAAGATAACAATCAACACTACAAGAAAACAATCGTTTTCCAACGGTACATTACGACGGTTTAAAATCGTCGCAAACTTACAACGATTGTACGACGATTTTACGTCAAACCAAAAAAACGTCGTAAAACCGTCGTACAAAAAAATCGTCGTAACTGCGACGTACAATTTACGACGAATTACGATGATTATACATCGATAACGAGAGATTTGATATTAATTGCAAAATCGTCGTAAATTAGATGTAACATTATGACGAATATACGACGACCTGTATTCGATGTACACTTACGACAATTTTACGTTGATACAGAAGTTAGGTGAAGACCATTTAAAACATGTTTACCTAACTAATGTCGATGAAATATTTTATCACATAATCGACCTAAAATCGTCGTAATATTATTGTTGAATGTAAAAGCGATGTAAAAAATCATCGTAAAAGCGTCGTAAAGCCCGAAATTTTGTTATAAATAGATCTTCATTCCTTCTTTCATTCACAACACATCATCATTCAAACATAAGAGTATCATCATCCTGGAGACCCATTGTAGGTCTCTTAAACCTTAGTATAGTGTTGTAAATCCTGATATATTAGGTTGTCCATTGCTGGAAACCTGAATTAGTAGTTATTTCTTTGAAAAAAAGAAGTAATAATATTAAAAGGTTTGCTCTATTCAAGTGGCTAGACGTGACACAAGAGACTGGCTCTTTTATTGTCTAATCAATAAAAAGAGATAGTATTTTGAGTTTATTTCAAGATGTCTATATACGAGCTAAGAAGCTGGATGTATATACGTAAAGATTCAGATGGGGCGTTGACAGAAGAGTTCAAGAACGGGTTAGAAATATTTATGTATCAGGCTACAAATATGGAGAGAACGAAAGATAACGGGAAGATGTTTTGTCAAAGAGATAGTAACCGATGCTAATGTCAAAGAGATAGTGAAGAGATTCAAACAAAAAACATTGCCTACAATGAACTCCAACAAATCGAGTACAAACAAAATTCGAATATCATACATAGCAGACTCTTTTCCCTTTTATCCGCTTGCATCATCGTAACGACCATATATACATGGCAAACTCTTTTCCCTTTGTTTATGACTTTCAATCATGAGAAATTTTTCCCCCAAAATCGACAAACCCTAAATTTTAAAATTCAATTTCGTCAAACCCCACAATTCGAGTGTAACCGTTGTTAAAACATCATCTACATGCATACGCCGATACACAAAAACCCCTAATTTGAACTTTCAATCATATCAAAAAATTTCCCGAAATTCGAGAAACCTTAAATTCTTCAATTCAGTTTACCAAAACCAACAATTCGACTGTAATCGATGTTAAACAACATCTACATGCACACGCCGGTACATTAAAACCCCTAATTTGAACCGACGATTAATCCAAAAAAATTTCCCCAAATCGACAAACCCTAATTTCCCCAATAGTTCAGCAAATAAAAGAAATAAACGGTTAGAAAGATGATTACCTTACGCAGAGGACGGAAGAGATGGACCTGAGGCGCAGAAAACGACCGGAAAGAACGATCTCCGGGATTCGGCGATGTCACTCGATATCGCCTCCGCCGTCGCTTTCGAGAGAGAAGAAAAGAGACAAAGGGTTTTTTTGTTTTCCCCGACCCAAATTTTTTTATCCCAAAAAAAATTAATTCATTAAAATTGTAAATAACATTAAAATAGAACGTCAATTATATTGGGCCACGCGTCCGACGAGACGGTCTCGTCCACTCCTTATATAAGGAGCGCTCCGTTCAGATTTTGGCCCACAAATATTATTATATTCATCCTTACCTATGAAACTGGGCCGAAGATTGGGTTAAAATACCCTGTTGGAAATGGTCTAAGACCATCATTATCGGGGGTTTTTACCCGGATTTCTTGTATTTTTTTATCAATAAATGTATTGAAGATTGAGTTTTTTGGCTAGAAACGTTTCTTATTTGGGGTTAGAAGAAACGTTTTTTCTGGCTACGTGTCTATATGGGATTGGTTAAAAAAATTTGGGGACAAAATGATATTTTTGTTTTCTTCTTTCTTTTCCCCGATAATTTTTTTATTCGCAATTCCTCTTTGTTTTCTCGTCGAAGGCGACGACTGAAATGTTTTCTCCGACGGCTTTTCAGATTTCTCCGACGGCTTCTGTATTCTCGAAGCTTGGGATCGCTGTGACGGCGCCGCAGATAAGCGTTCGAAACCCTAAACCATGATTTTTTCTATCGGTTTTGATGATCAATTGACATGATTGGCATGATAATTGTTTACCTTAATGCTTTGATGATTGATGAATTGAATTAGCCGAAACCCACTTAGGGGGTTTTCATTTCTTTGCTCTCTATACTTCTTCAATGTTCTGCTTCAATGTCAAAACTTTGCAGAAAAGGTCGACAAATTGCAAATCTTTGGTATCTGTGTAGTGTTCGTCTTCAGATGAAATTGGTGTGCAGCAATTTGGCTCCATTCTTCATATTTTCTGCTACATTGGATGGACTTCTCATGTCTGCTTCCAGGATATTTTGATTTCTTCCACATACTCATATACAAGGTTCTTACAAAATATATATCTTTATTTACGCCTGCTTGCGTATGTGTGTGTTTGAATTGGTAGATTTCCTGATTGCTTCCTTGCTTTCCTCTTGGCTTGTTTGTTTTATAGGCGTCTTCTTTGTCTTGTACAGGTACGTGCTGATGGGAGGTGGAATCTATCCAGGTACGGAAGGAAAGCCACAATTAGGGAGTTTTACGGTAAGATGTGTGTTTTGGACTATTAGTTCAATCTTATAGAACATGGCGTTTGGCTAAGTGCAGGAAAATTGTGTACAAGAAACTGAAGGAGAGGTCGGATCAGTTTGTGGCAAAAGGTTTAGTGAGGACAAAGGAGAGCAAGGAGAAGATCGGTGGAGAGGATGAAGTGTTCATTGGAGATATCCGAGACCCTGCAGCCATTGCTTCTGCTGTTCAAGGAATTGATGCTGTGCAATCTTCTTCTTTCTTCTTCTTAGATCATTTGTTTATTCAATTTGAAAGTGAATTTTGTTTTATTGATACATTGTTCCAGATCACATTTGCAAAGAAGAAAAACTTTGAATTAGAAACAAAAATTTGAATTAGATTCAGAAACAAACAAAAAAAAAAGTCGATTTCAGATAGTTTAAAACAAAACAGAACAAATTTGAGGAAGTAAAGCACTAAAACATTACGAAGAAAGCACGTTGCGAGCTTTCTGCGTCTGATTCTGCACCCAATGCAGCAAGCATCTCTGCACCCAATTTTTTTTAAGAAAACCCCATTGAACCCTTTAAAACTATGTGTTTTTTAAATGGGTTTCTTAACCCACTTTAATAATTAGAAAATGCTTTAAGAAATCCAAATGGGGTTGTGCGATAATCATGCTCTAAGAGGCTGTCTTATAAGACGACGTGGCGGTTTGTGGTTGGGCAACAAATTTTAGCCGATTATTTTGAGACCCTCTGCTCCATTTAGTGTGTTTCTCACACTTGAAACATTTTGTCGTTTCGGCTCTCGACCAAATTGGGGAAAAGACGACGACTTAAACATCTAGGATCTCTTCGCCGAAGATTATCAATCGATCGTGTCTTGTCGTTTGTTTTCGTCTTCTCCAATCAAATTTTGATCGAATTCCCTTCGTCTTCTCCGCCACGCCAAATCGCTCCGAGTTCCGAACCAGTTTCTGTTTGGTTTCGCCGGAGAGAGTCAATCACAAAAGGATTGGTTAAGCTGAGAAGTCAAATCGTTTATAATGAATAATCTCTTCGTATAAGTGGAATCAATCACAAAAGGATTTGTTCCACCTGATTAGTCTATGTCCTGTGTCTGTGTTGATTGATAAATTGGCATATCCGACGTTTTCATTGACTGTGAGGTTTTATATCTGAAATGTTTTTGGAACACAAAATTGGCATATCCGGTGCAGTATGAAACTCATGAGCCTGCTCGAGGAAGTCAGCACAATTCTTCTTTACTTGCTGCAGATTTCACATTTCACGACAGTAAACGGTTGAATCCTGCACTAGAACAAAGTTTTCAGATGCAGAGTTCTAATACATTCTCCAACATTATGGTGGTAAACCAAAAAAAATTTACCTTGTTTCTTAGGCTCTTTCGCTGAATCAAGATCTTAGACTTAGCTTCATCTTCTTCCATATATTCTTACAGAATCCTCAGTCAATGCCTAGTCCATCTTCACAAGGTCGTTGGCCATCAACTTACATGACTGAGGTAAACTCTTTTTCTCTATAAAGCATCAATGTTCTTACATCTTTATAGCAACTTCTCGTAACTCTTGTGGTGCATGTTTTAGTTTCTTGATTTTCATATGTTGCAGCAGCCAGCAGGCACTAAGAACCGCTACTATGTTTGTACCACACTGGAACCAACAAGCCATGAACCACCATTACTTACTTGTTTCCATGGCAGAACAACAGCTCCTACATGCCACCACCATCACGATTTCAGCAACGTGGTGGTCATAACAACAACACTTACCACCATCAGCCTTTGGCTCCAATGCTTCGTCCTGAGTATAGAAACATTCATATGCCTCAATCACCTGCCGCTATTGCTCCTTATGGCCCAGAGTTTGTAATGCAAAACATTAGAGCATAGGATATAATATCTATCTATATCTTATATTCATTTTAAGTTGAGAAATGAAGAGTTTGTAATGCAAAATACACAAATGTGTACTAATGGAAAATAAAAATCAAATTTTATGCAAACATTTTTAAGAACTTCTAATGAGGTTCACCATTGGAGATGAAAAAACTTATGGGTTAAATAATCAATATTTACTATTAAATAAATGGTTAAGAACTTCTTAGTGAGGTTCACTAATGTACATGATCTTAGGCATCAGACTCCGGTCACAAAGAGCAAGAATCCAAAGACGCTTACTGGCTACACGATTAAATTATTGCATCTGGATTAATTAATATGAGAGTGTTGATCGTATGTGAGTAAAAACAGATCCATAGTGTGGACAATTTACCAAAGCATCTCTACAGATGGGTCAATTATGGGCCCAATATCTCAAAAATAGTTTTTGAGAGGAGATCTTAAAAAGGTTTTAAACAATAATAAGACTTTAAAGTTTGAATGGTGTACAAGTTAATGACTTTAGTGTCAAATTTTGCAGCATTCACAGGTGGGTTAAACTTGCACCTTTCATGTATAGACTAAGGCCTAAAACTTTAAAATCCAAATTGATGCTGGTGAACATTAGGTTTGTTGTTTTTGAACTTCAAAATCCGACGTCAATATAAATAAGACACGAATAAGCATAACAAAGATTAAAAACTCACGAGCAGAAACTTACATTGGAAACTGGAGTTTAAAAAGACAATGACGAGTAACAGTGACGTCCTGAGAATTGTTACACTAACTTTTACAGTGGATGGAAAGTTAAATTACCATATTATGTATAACCTTTCGAGTTTCAACAAATCACTACTTTAGTTCTTTTAGAAAAAAATTACAAATTCCGGAAAGCAAGTGTTCATATGCATTGGTAACATTATTACGTATCAAATAAGTTCAACATCATGTCCATTTCCCAAAGTAAAGCTCCACTCAATAAGATTTTATCCCTTTTCTTAAATATAGAGCTCGTAACCACAAAATGCATATTTATCACTTGTGGAATACAGTATATCACATCCTTTTTTTTTTCTTACCAGTGTCAATTCCTTTTAAGTTGAACATGTTTCTTATTTTTTATGCATAAATTGATTTGCATTGCAACCATTCAAAGCTATAATATAGAAATAAACTCCGGATATATAAATATATATATGTCACATCTATATAATTAAATCCCATACTTTATATATTACTCATATGGCTTTGCTATTATTTGATGACGCTAACTTCACAGTTCCGTTAAGGATCTACAAGAAAAATCAGCACTATCAACTGATTATCGGCATAAAATTCAGTAGCTACAGGCCGATATGAATTGAGACTATGTAGGAAATATCAAAATTATTTTCGAAGGAATTATTTATTTATTTAAGTACTCCCAGAGAATATAATATTGAAACAACAAGAATGGAGTAGTTGTAAAGTATCTTCTTGTTCTTTTTCTCTTTCTTAAATTTTATTTTTTCGAATCAATATCCCAATCATTTTTATCATTGAATTTCAATTCTCAGAAAATATACAAAGACCGTTATTGGAATCGTGGGACAAATATAATACTCCCTCTGTTCAGAATTATTTGATGTTTAAGGTTTTTGCACACAATTTAAGGATTTATTTAATTTTTATTTTTCTTATATTAAAAATATTATTTATAATTCATTTAAATATCATTCAGCCAATAAGAAAGACAATCTGTAGAATATAAAAAGTCAAAAACTATAAAAATTCATTAAATTTTGCATTGAAAACTGAGAACATCAAATAATTCTGAACAAAAAAAACTTTCTAGAACATCAAATAATTCTGAACAGAGGGAGTAATACATGTATCTTTAATATGATATTTGATATAAGTGTCCATCCACTATTATATACTCCCTCTGTTCAGAATTATTTGATCAAATCATAGTCCCAGGAAAAGCAGAGCG